TGTTCTTGAGCTGATCACTCATAAACTTTCCCTCTTCTTCTCATTTATCCTCGTTCAGGCTCGCTGAGGTGCTGTCTCTTCCCTCCTCTAGCGGAAGGATGCTGCCACTGAAACCAGCTTTCCAGAAGCGCTCGGTAACCATAGCTGCTGCGGCCACCTTCGAGCTGCACGGACTCGGTGCTTTGGCTGCTTTCGAAAACGCAGCCCTGAGCTTTCCAGTGGGAGCAGCTGGGCTCCGAGCTCTTCTGAAACCTGGCCCCGGTGAGCACCGCCTTATGGGGAACCCTCCAAGAGGAAACGGGTCCGAAATCTTTGCGTGTCGTCTCTCGTAAGTGTAAAAATAAGACAACTTGGCTGTGCCATTGTTACGTTCTTTGAAACCAACAAGTCTTTGCGGCGTTATCTCCTCGTCGTCTCGTGACACCTCCTTTCCTATGGAAATGGGCCCATCTGGGGATTCACGTGGTCCCGGGCAGATAATTGTAATGGTCCCCCCGGCCTTTAAAATCTATGAATCACTCCAGTATCGGGGCACTTTATGCACATTAGCGAATTAATCCTTACAGCCTCTCTGCAAGGGAGGGAATTATCGTTGTCATTGCTTGGATGGGAAATGGGTGAGATGGAGCCCAGATCTGCGCAAGAACTGGGGGGTCACATCACTCACAGCCGTAACAGCTAACCTTTGGGCACCCAGCCCTTGGGGGCATCCGTGACCCTGCATTAGTTACCTCTGCAGTTGTGCCGAGTGAACAGGGAATATCTATCCAGCCTGCCACGCGGCTAGAAATCCATCTGAGCCCTGTCACAGCGAGATGTATGGATGGGGCGTAGGCAGCAGGTCTGCCGCAGCCGGGAAGCGCCGGGAGGACGTGCTGCATCGGACGCTGGGTGGGCTGGGACACGTGCAGGAGGTCCAGCATCTCCCCGTGGCGTTGGCCTCGCTCTCCGCATGCCGCGTCTCCCGGCTCGCGTGGGTGTCCTGCCTGCTGGGAGGTCCCCAAATGAAGGAGGTAGGTGCCCCTCGCCCGAGGCGGTGCCAGGAGAGCAAGGCAGACCCCAGGACATCCCCCAGCCCCCTCGTCCTGGGCTGATCGCACCGCAATCGCTCGCTGTAGGGCATCACAGCAACCGGACAGACTTTGGAAGCTAAACCTGTTGTGGCTCCTTTTAATGTCGGTGACTTTGAGCTCAGCTTATCCGTGCCGGAGCACTTAGTGCAGTCATTTACCTCTAGCACCGCAGTTGCAAGACACGTGCTGATTTCTTTTGTTTCCCCTGGTATCCAGGTGTTTCAACCATGTCACGGCAGTACCGTGGTGCCCGCGGGCAGAATAACACACCGCTGTTCCGGAGTTGAGGTTGGAGCAGCATTTCGGCTTCCCCGTATTAATGACAGCTTATTAATTCAGCCGTGTGGTGATCTTGATGGAGACAGGTTTGGCTCCTCACCCCTTTCAGGTCTGGTGAGACTGTACCAGGGCTTGTGCTTTCGGCAAGGTAAAGTCTCCTTTTTACAAGCGTGTGCCCGTGGAACGGTTTGTGCTGTTGCAGCCTACACTTTGGTCTATATTAAAACTGAGTTTTGGCTGACTGGCTCGGTGCGCAGCCGGTGTTTATGTTCTCTGAAAATGACTGTCAAGGTTAAAAAATAGCTGTGCAGCTTGTGCGCTGGAGCTGCTGGGAGAGCCAGCGAGCGCCTGGGCTCCTGCGCGGACGGAGGGTTGGATGCGGTGGCTTTGGCGCTCGCCTCACCCTCCTTTTGCATCAAACGCAGTTACAGGCTTTACAAAAGCAAGGAAAAACCCTGAGCAACCCCTTCTTTTTCATGTTGCGCTTATTAAACCAATGGAAAAATCTCCTTCTGACTAAAGATCCAGGCTTCAGCCTACTGCATTTATTCTCTGGCTCTTGCTCTAATGGAGATGGCGTGTTGGTCCAGCTGGAAGTATTGTGTCCTATTAAATAAAGATTTTTAAATGAGCACATTTATTCATCAAGCTGTCACAGCCTGTTGAGTAAAGAATGCAGACTGGCCAGCCTTAGTCTGCCTCAAATCTGTTTTCTCCGAAAAGCTGTTACCATCTCTGGGGGAAATAAACCCAGCCTCGTGTTTACCCAAACCCCAAATGCCATCCATGTGCTCCGTCCCTGCACTGAAGGCAGCCGTAGGGCCATCGTGGGGGGAGAGAAAAGCAGAAATTGGGGCCGCGTGCGGTGTTTAAACTCTTATTTTACGCAGCCCTTCGCCTCTGCAGCGTGAAGGGTCGCCGCCGCTTTCGGGGCCGATTTGCAGCGGCATTGTCCCAGCGCCTGTCCCTCGCCCCAAAGAGTTTACAGTCTACATCTTCTTTTTAATTCAGACACCCGCAAAATAGCAGGCTGAAATAACACTGCTATATGTCAGCTGCTGATGGAAGGAGATTAAATATTAAAGCCAGTGCTGTGGCTTTAACTCCGATTCCCCC